CCATATAAACATGGGTAGTGTGGCTATAGCTTAGTTGTGGGGAACTAGCTTACACAACAGGATTTATATGAAATTTAGTAACTTAACTCAACATTACTGCAAGAGGGATGCAAATCTGTTGAGACAGGATCTCCCTTTGTAGATCAGGTTGGTCCTGAATTTACTCAGGCTAGGCTCAAGCACTGGGATCACAACTGTACACCATCATATCCAACTCAAGAAGAAAGTTAATTTTTGTATGATTTAGCTACAGAAAATTTATTGAACTTTTTCTGGTTCTTATTTTGTGTGTGTTTGTGAGATGACTTGGCCAATACACTAAAGAAATGGGGCTGAGATTCAAATTTAAGTTTAACTAGTTCTCAATTCAAATACTTTTAGATAGTACACCACCATAAAGGTAATGTAAAGCATACCTACCCATACACTTCAACATTCCATACAGGATTATTCTGACTAACTATAAGCTCCCTCCTAAATACTATTACTAGAGATTAAACTCTAGGCCTTGGACATGCTATGTATCCCAGGCCTTTCGACCCACTCTGTAGACTATAAGTCAAATATATAGAAAATTGCAGAAGTCTAGGGGTGGGAGGGGAACTTTATTATTTCAAACTCATACATTTAAGATATGCCTCCTTGCGTCTCTGATTCAGCAGTAGAACTAGAACACAGAAATTGAAAAAAAAAAAAAGCCAGTAAAATTCCATCTTCATGATTGGTTTCAAAACCCGTTCACCTGTTTTTTCTTTACCTTCCCATGAGTGATTTTAGTCATCATACCTTACAAGTGTTACTTTTAAGACACTATATCTACATTCAAGTACAAAGTATAAAAGAAAAAGCAAAAACCTAAACTCACTGGCTAATCAGCCTATGGAAGGTGATCATTTGCCTGCCCAAATTATTTTAGTGATCTAAGACACTTATTTTGAAACACGTCCCAAAGATATCTCAAAATCATACTCTCTTGACAAGAGTTTTTTTTAAAATCATTTTTATTCTATGTACACTGGTTGTTTGACTGCATATACCTCTGTGTGAGAGTGTCAGATCCCCTGGACAGGAGTTTACAGACAGTTGTGAGCTGCCATGTGAGTGTTGGGAATTGAAGCTGGATCTTAGCCATTAAGCCATCTCTCCAGCCTTGACTAGTAGCCTCGGCTGTCAGGGGCTCACTTTGTAGACCAGGCTGGCCTCAAACTCAGAGATCCACCTGCCTCTGCCTCCCAGAGTGCTAGGATTATAGGTGTGCACCCCCCCCACACACACAGCTGCTGACTAGAAATCCTTAAGTAGGTACAATGAGTCAGGGTTAGACTGTTAACACTTGGAGGACGAGGCAAGAGTTTTGTGAGAGTCTAAATAAAAAGAGTAATTATTTCACTAATTTATATGACCTTTACATTCTTCAGATTCAATAAATATTGGTAAGAATGGGAAAAATGTTGCCAAATGATTATTTTAAATAGCAACTTTATTGAAGGTAGAGTAACAATCAGATAGCAATGATACCAAAAGTTACATCTAGAAAAATAAAACTAGCTTAAATACCAGCTAAAGATTTAAGTTATCCAGAGAATGGAAGTACCTTGACCAAATATGAAAATTACAAGATATGGTCAAGGTTTATTTCAAGAATAAGTAAAGAGAAAATAGCTGCTTAAAACACTGAAAGAAATGATTATTTTTCTACTCAATGGAGAATATAAATTACTTTATTTTTCATTACATATTTGTATATCCCAAGTACTGCTGGGAGTGATGGAACATGCCTTTAATCCCAGCACTAAAGAGGCAGAAGTAGGAGTTTCTCTGTGAATTCCAGGTGAAACAGGGCAACATCGTGAGACCTTTTCTCAAAAAACTAAAACAAAAAACTCTCTTGAGTATGATGAGAAACTCACTGTAAGAGGGTGAAAGGAAGATGTCTGTTATGTAAATATCAGAGCTTCCCCACCCTAATCAAAAATTATCTGAAGTCACAAGACAGCTCAGCAGGTAAGGGCATTTGCCCTACAAACCTAATGACTCTTTCATGCCCAAAGTACATGACAGAGGGAGAAAACTGACTCCTGAAAGCTAGAATCTCATTTCTACAGATGTACTGGACATATTCTCCCTGCCCCAATGAATGAAACAGTGTACAATAATAAATAAAAAAGGATTATGCTAGCTAGTTAAACTGTGGCTCTAATAGAACACTGCAGGTTGAGGCAGAGGAATCAGTAGTTCACGGTCAGGTCACACAGTAAATTCAAGGTTAGCCCAAGATGAGACCCCATCATAAACGATTAAATAAATAAAAATAAAAGAGAAGCCAGGTGCGGTGGCACACGCCTGTAATTCCAGCATTTGGGGAGGCAGAGGCAGGAGCACCTCTGTGAGTTTGAGGCCAACCTGGTCTACAAAGGAAGTCAGGACTGCTAAGGCTACAGAGAAGGTAATCAGTTTGGTGTGATAGCAATGCCTATAATCCTAACACCTGGAAGGTGGAACCAAGAAGACCTAGAGTTCAAGGTTAAGAGTGAGGCCAGCATGGTCTACGTGTTTATCTTTAAAATATACAGACAGACACACATACACACACATTATTTTATTCATTTTTTTAAGTGTATGGATTTTTTTTCCTTTGTTTTATCCTTGACTGTGCTCTCCCTAAGTCTTTTTTTTTTTCCTTTTTTTGTAAAGTTTGGTGTGTCTAATAGTGTACCTTATCAAACACAAGAGTTCTCCAACTAAGCTCACTTTCTGCCATGAAGATATCTTGGTTATTGTCCAGGGGAGAACCTGCTTTGTCTTGTGCCTCCATCCATAAACTAAACATCTTATCAGAAGTATATATAAATGCATACAAATGAACATTTCACAAATTTTCCCAATAAGAAGCAAGTCTTCAAAAAACAAGTGGCATTGTAGGTTTTTACTAGTCCTTAAAAAAGAAAAAAAAAATCCATAAAACAGAAAAAAACAAAAAGTGGGACTTTGTAGCACAAAGACTAAATAAATGCTCAACACAGAGAAATGCTTAATATGGGGGTTGGAGAGATGGCTCAGAGCTTAAGAGCATGGGCTGCCCTTCCAGAGATCTTGAGTTCAATTCCCAGCCACCATATGGTGGCTCATAACCATCTAGAATGAGATCTGGTACCCTCTTCTGGCGTACAGGCTTACCTGCAGGCAGAACACTATACATAATAAATAAATCTTAAAAAAAAAATGCTTAATATGAGTTATCACAAATGAAGACAATCTAAAAGCTATTTGGAACTTTTTTACAATTCATCATGCTAACTCTTCAGTATATCACCACTAATGGGCAAGATAGGCTGGGGATGTAGTTTTGTGGTAGACCCACTGCCAGCAAACATGAAGGACACAGGGTTCTGTTTCCAGCATGGAGAAAAGGTGAATGAATCTAAGGGTAAATTTAATCAAATATAGTGTATATCGATGTGACTAGGAAAGCTAAGAACCAGAATTGAGATTTTGATGTTCACTCTGGGTTATCTATTGTCAGTGACAGTGAAGCATTCACCCACAAGTAAAAGACTTCCCCCAAGTTTGAGATCTTTCAAATTACGCATATACATATGCATGCAAACTATTTTCCACCTCTTAAAGTTCCATTACAACTGTTTCTAGCCAGAACCAACAACACTGTTAGTATTAATGTTCTTTATTCATCTTCCTCAAACATTAGCACTACTGGACATGAATTCTTGTTTTTAAGTACCAGTAATTTTTATAATATGTGCCTATGTAAGAGGACCGAGTGCCTTAATTAGTTTTGATGATACTCGTATAGTTAACATCAAGACTAGTCTCTTCTCTTAAAGCATACATAAACAATTCAGTAACTTGGAATTATCAGTTTACTCAATCTGGGATTCAACATTTTCACAATATTTGGATTAAAAAATGTTTAAATCTACAGACCTGCATGGGGGGAGGGGGGGAGAAATTTAAAAACTGCAACCCTCCTCACAATTTTCAGTACTTAAACAGTTAAAATGCAAATCTGTCATTAAGTGAATACTAAGAAAACAAAAATGCTGTACAAGATGAACAAGAAATTTTAATAGTTATACACTGTATTTTCTAGAACACATGGTACTTGCCAACAGTAAATTTATGGCCACAGATGCCAATAGTTTTCTCATTTATCAGGAAAAAAAAAAAAAGAAATTGTTTAGTTTGACTATGTTCTCTCCCTTCTCAAAAGATTTTAACACAATAGTTGAAACTCTGCTTGTTTGGTATCAAAACTTTAAAACGAATGTCAATGTCTGAAATATTTCAAAATTTTGATCTGATAATATAATTTCAGTCCTTTTTCTCAGCATGGTCCTCAAAAGGGTCTTATATTTACAAATTTTAATCTCTTTTAAAAAATGGGGGCATTGTATCTATTTTGATCAGCACAGATTTTTCTTTTTCAGTAATACATAAATACCTCTTGCAGTAAATTGTATCGTAGGATTCCACAGAATCAGCTAACTTTTCTCCTTTAGAACTTTCAGCCCCCAAGTATTAACCAGTATCTCATTTTACAGAGAAGGCCATTGGAAACTCAAAAACGTATGTCCCAAAAGTCATAAAAACCAAGAAGATACTGTCACTCAAAATGTCTGTTTTCCAACGAGCCCTTTTTAAATACACAACTTACCTAAGGTAACGAAAAAAAAAAAAAAAAACTAGCTGAGTTTAATCGTGATGAATCTAATCAGCTAAGATATGCGATGTAATGCATTTTTCCTGCTGAACACTCAGGAGCTGCGTGCTTATGGCTTGAACCAAGAGGCTGTCTCACTTTGATCCATAAATAAAAATTTTGTATTTTCTATAAGATTTATACAGAATTACAGCTACTTTAGCACTGACAGCTATCTGAAAGTAGAAGATTCATCTCAAGCATTACAATGACTCAGTATAGAGTCACTCGCATTTTCTCCCCCCCCACCCCCCTCTCCCGCCCGGCGGAAAAAGACCCCAAAGGAGACTCATTGATCCACCTGGACTGTCCTCAAAGGTTAAAAAGACTATGCACTCATCATCAGCACCAGGGAACTTCGCACATCTTTTCCGGTCTCACGGCTAAACTATTCACAGGTGGTTGGCATAATAACATCTCTCCGTGCAAGAAAACCAAAGGGAACGGGATGGATGCAGTGACGGGAGCAAGCTGGCAGTTCGTTTGAGGGAGCAGCGGGGTAAGAGGGCCGGGGACGCAGGACCAAGGGGAAGGTGCCGACAAAGACACGTTCTCTGGGCTCCGGGGGCGTCGCGGCGGAGGCCGCTGCGCCCGACACTCGGCGCTCGCTGCCAGGCCCCTCCAATCCCTCTCGCCATTCCCCAAGCCAAAGGCAGACAGAGGTGGGGGCTGCCGGGGCGGGGACGGGGAAGACCAGGGGCCGGCGGCGGGCGGCTCGGCCCCGCTCCAAGGCCGCGGGAGGCCATTTTACCTCCGGGGCCGTCGGAGGGCCCGGCAGCCCTCCACGTCCGCAACCCTCCGAGGTCTCCCCCCGCCCCGCCCCGCCCGGCGGGGGCCGGTGGGGCTGGGAAGGGCGGGTGTGGGGAGGGTGCGGGGTTCGGCCGCGCCTGCCGCGGGGCCCGGGCTCGGGGCGGTGCGGCGGGGGCGGGGGCGGCGGCCGCGGGCCGTGGCGTCGGCGGGATACCGACCGCCGGGCGCCGAGGGAGAGGGCAGGGAGAGGGCGGGGAGCCGTTACCTATACTGGGCCGCAGCCGCCGCCGCCGCCGCCCCGCTGTGGGTGAATCCAAAGTAGTTGCCGGTCGCCATTTTGGCATCTTCCCCCAGCCGGCTGGGCACTGCGGCGGGCACGGAGAGTCGGGTCCCATGGCGGGAGGGCAGCCGTGAAGGGGTCGGGGCGCCGAGGGATGGCAAGGGAGAGAAAAAGGGCCGTGAGAAGCCGCCCTGGCCGGCCGGGCCGCGGCCGCACCGCCGTCCGCCTCCCTCCCCGCACTCCCTCACTCACTCGCACGCCCGGGTGGCGGCCGCCGCCTCCTCCCCGGAGCTGGCCCCAACCCCCGCGCCTACCCGCCGCCCGGGGCTGGGGAAGGGCAGGGCAGAAGCCTCCACGGGCCACATTAGACTCACCATAGGTGAAAGAAACTACAGGGCATATGGGAATCATGGGCTCGGGCTGCTGCTGCTGAACTCTGAACTCTCACCCGCTGCCTCCCTCCTCTGCCCCACTCCTCCTCAGCGGAGAACAGACCGCCGCCTCCGGCCGCACTGCGCAAGCGCGCCAGGGCACTGCATCCTGGGAGATGTAGTCCTCACGGCCCGCGCCGACTCTCCCCCACTCCCCCACCCACCCCTGAGGTCTGGCGCAGAACCCCTGAGGAGCGGGTTTCTGGGGTGCGAGCGTGGGGCTCTCTCGAGGGACTACGGGCCCGGCTTTCTCCCAAGCGATGGTGATCTGCAGCCGCCCCTGGGCGGAGGAGGAGCGCCTCGCCCGGCCGCGGGGGAGTCGGGGAGCGTGACCAGATAGAGTGACGTCTGTTGGCCTTTTCGCCGCCTTACTTTTTCACCGGTTTTCTTTACTTTTGCATCTGCGTTTGTTCTTTGTGTTTCAGCCCTCCCTTCGCGTTTAATTTCCATTAGAATTTGAGCTGGCCTAATTCCTGTGGCTTGTCACTAGCCTTTGAAAAGGAGATGGGGGGAAAAAGGAAAAAGGAGAGAAAACGCAGAGGAAGTGCACCAAGCATCTGCCTAGAGCCCTGCCTGTCACAGGAGTCACACCTCGTGCCAAGCCCACCCCTCATCCCCAGCCCCCGCCCCAACTCACATAAGCCTTCAGTCTTTCAGGGTCATGTTGGCCCCCAACAAGGTGTTGGGCGTTGTAGATGCTAGAGACATGACATGTTATAGGTGCTAGTGAGCGAAACAAAATCCCTGTTCATGTGGAATTTTTATTCAGGGAAGGCTCATGAGAGACTAGAGCCAAAAACATGGAAAATGCGGTGGGTGGTGATTGGAGCTTTAAGAATAAACAATGAAGATAAAGGGGCATTAGTGGGTTAGGGAAACCACTGGAATGAATACCCCACAGAAGTGGGAAAAGAAAAAAAAAAAAAAAAAAAACCAAACATCTAGATAGATACCTGGAGGAAGGACAGAAGAGGAAAAGTCAAGAGCATCAAAGTCAGTCGTTCTGGCCAGAACTGAGTAAGGGAAGGACCAGGTCAAAGGTCCTTTTGAAAGTACCAGATTTGCTGAGCATGGTGGTGCATACTACTAATCCCAGCACTGGGAGGCTGAGACAGGAGGATCTAGGCCTGTCTACACTGCAGAGGGAGACATTTTCTCAAAAAGAAAATACCCACCAATCCACTCCTACCCGCACTGCCGAAAGAGTGCCAGCTCTCTCTGAGTAGGGATCAATTCTTTAGAAGCAGTACTTGCTGCTTTACTGTTGGTACCTCTTTATTTTCACAGACCATTTCAGTCAGCCCCTCTCCCACCCCCACAGCCTTTCTGTTTCCTCCACTGCTGGGGACAGAGTTCAAGGCGCCCTGCAAAGTGCAGGCAGGACTTCTGACCTGAGCTACATCTCCCTGTTTTCTTACAGTCCCATTCTTTGTTCTTGAGGCAGGGTCTTGCCGGCAGGCCTGATGACCTGGCACTTCTATACTGCTTGAGCTGGCCTCCGTTTTCCAGTGATCCTGCATCAGCCATGGGAGCTTGGGGATCAAGAGTATGCGTCACCTTACTGGGCTCAGCCTTCTCCTGGACTGTCTTCTGTCGCCTTGCCTTTACCCTGCCTTCACCGAGGTGTAGGGAGGGCTCTACTCCACCTCATTCTTACCTTCTCCATGCCCATCCACCAGCCCTCTGCTGCTTATCTCTTCTTACCGTCAGATGTGAACCTTAAAATATTCAGAGTGAATCAGAATTCACCCATGAAAATCAGGCCTTTAGTCTACCTTCCTTTCAAAGCAGAAACAATGCCTCAATTCTTATTTGTGCCAACCCCCACACCTCCTACAAAGGTACAGGTTCAGAGAACCTGTCTGATTTGTCCTTTTACTCATTTCAAAAGGGAAAATGTAGAGCATTTGGGAAAAATCAATGTCAATTGTTTTTGAGAACACTGATGTTTTCCAATTGTGTTGCTAAGGGGAAAAATCTCCTACATGCGGGGCATTAGAACTGTATTTAAAAAGTGACTTGCCTTGAATTTAGAACAAATAAGGCTCCAGACAGACTGCAGCTGCTTTCATAAACCTCACCACTATTAAGTTATTTGCACTCGCCACTATTAAGTTATTTTCTCCTCCAGTTTGGCAACTGGAGGAGAAAAGTCACGGGATAAAATTGTTGACATTCTGTTGAGGTGATTTTCTGTTTGGCTGCTTGGCAGGATTGGGAGGATGGAGTGTGTTGACACTTTTCAAGGAGGGAGCAAAGAAGCTGGCTTTGCAGTGGGTTGTCCTTAGGGGCGTGGCAGCTGTGAACTGTTGGCAATAGCACTGTTCTCAGAGGCAGGTGTAGCCTATTGCAAGTACTTTAGCTTGCTCTTACCTTAGCTTGCTTAGGAAAGATGTTTTGGAGCACACTGGAATAAAACAGACCTGGGTTGTTTGTTTTGTCGGGCACGGGGGCGGGGGGGCGGGCAGCTAACAGTGGAATGTCCTGATTAGATGTTATTAAAGCTAGAAATAACAATATCTTCGTCATATGGACCGGCGAGATGGCTCAGCAGGTAAAGGCCCTTGCCACCAAGCCTGATGACCTCAGGCAAGTACAAATTGTCCTCTGACCTCCACACAAGTGTCCACACATGTACACAGACATACACTAAATAAATAATTAAATATTCTTCACAGGACAGTACTAGGGGTTATATGGGGAGGCATTTATATAAAGCAGCATCTAAACTTTTTTTTTTTTTTTAAAGCAAAACTGGGACCCTGAGAGATGGCTCAGCAGGGTTAAGGTGTTGCTGTACAAACATGGAGTTTGATCTGAAACTCATGGAAAGGTGGAAGGAGAGAACTGACTTCACAAGATTGTCCTCTAACCTCCCCATATGTCCACCACACATGTACCATGTAAAACACACACATTCACACCCACACACCCAAAACAAGATCAGATGTTCTTTTTCAAACCAACCTGCTAGTAAGTAAATACTTCATGCAGAACATTTACCTACAATCAAAGAACCTATGGCTCCAAGCTTGAGCACTGTGTTGCAGAATACCCAGCCAGGCATCATGGTAGCATGTAATTCCCTCAGCCAACAACAGAAAACAAGATTTGACTAGAGCTGGAGTTGTAACTAAGTTGGTAGAGTGCTTGCCTAAGCTGGCATGCATGAAGCCCTGGCTTCAGTCTCCATCACCATATAAACTGAGCACAGTAAACTAGCCTTGTAATATCAGCTCTGGGAAGATAGAACCAGGAGGTTCAAGGTCATCCTTGGCTATATAGGGAGTTCGAGAGTCACTTGGGGTCCACGACATCCTGCTTCCAAACAAAACAGCATCAGCAGCAAATAATCAAGGAAGCAAGCTGGAGAGATGGCTCAGTCCATATCATGCAAGCATAAGATGAGAGTTTGGCTCTTCAGTACCCATGTAAAAGCTTGATGATGCAGTCTCGGCTCTAGGAAAGGGGAGTAGGGTGGAAGTGGGATGACAGGAAGATCTCTGGGTCCAGCCAAATAGGTGAGCTGAAGTTTCTGTAAAAACAAAAACAAACAACAAACCAACGAAAGCTAGTCTGAAAAATATTCTGAGTGTTGCAGAATAGTTGATCCCATTATGAACCCTGAGATTGTGAACTGTAAAAACCCATTTCTTGTTTGGTGTGGCTCAGCCCTAGCACACACCTTTAATCCAAGAGCTTTCTGTACACAGGATTAAATAAAGGTAACCCTAAATCAAGAGGTGGAGCAAGAGACCAGCTGACAGGGAGTAAAGAGTAGGAGGGACTTTGAGCTGAAGGGTATTTAAGACAGTGTGGACAAGGAAGGGGCTTTTGGCTTTTTTCTTCTGGGACCAAAGCTAAGTAGAAAGGCTTTTTCCTTCTGGGGTGTCAGCTAAGTAGGAAGATCAGCTGGGTGCTTTCTCTGCCTTACTGAGCAAGTAGGTTTTCACCCCAATATCTGGCTCCCTGAGTCTTTATTGGTAAAAATCAAACAATTGAGGTTTTCTTCTTTGTAACAGCAAATGAGTGGCGAGG